TAGCAAAGGGTTCAGTAGTAAGTAAGTCAAGGTTCAGTAGTAAGTAATGCGGAGTTCAGTAGCAAGTAACACAGAGTTCAGTAGTAAGTAGGGCAGAGTTCAGTAGTAAGTAATGCTGTGTTCACAGACCAGTAGCAATAAAAAAAAAAGCTCCATCTCTTTTCCTTTTTTTTCTTCAGCTCAGACAGACTTTATTGCCACTTGAACAGACATACAGCTTTACTGTTCCATTACAATACTTCTACACCACACTGGGCACCTAGAACATTATATAGGGACAAAAGGAATACTAGCAACAACACTAACAGGGTTATTCACAAAAGGGTGAAGAGTTTGGAGAAGGCAGGATAAGTGAATAATCTAAGATAACATAGCTGAACTGGAAAGTGAGCTGAATTGGAGAATTTCTCCAAATCAGCTATTTTGGCCTAGATTGTTAACTTCCCCTGCCCTCTCCAAACTCTTCACCCTTTTGTGAATAGCCCTGTAAATATAAATTTTACAAAAGCTGGGAGAGATGGTGGGTTTCCTCCAGTCCACACACAGGTATTCAGGATTATACTACCACTCTTCCTCTGCCACAGCTCCTTATTCTACTCCGGTCTCCGGCGGAAATCTGCGGCAGCTGTATCCTCCAATATCCCCCCTTACTCCCTCCTGTTCTGTGTCAGAGGTGTCCATTCATCTACCTTATCAGATGCTCTGACTTGGACACAGTTTCCATGTGTGAAGCCCGGGGTGGAACACCTCCGAAGGGCACCTCACAGGACACCACTTTCAAGTATGCAGCTTCCTTTAATTAATTGGTCTGCATTCACTGACACTGACGAATGGCAACCATGAGCTAAAGCTGTGTTTCTGGGACAGAGACCATGGCACATCTCACCAGGGTCACACAACTTAAAAGCAGAACTGTCCCAGTAAATCCAGGACAGTAGGCAACTATGGGTGTGGGTGTGACTATTCCAAAGAGCCTGGCACAAAACTTGGGGCCCTCTGTCATTAAGCAGCTGATCTTACCGTACTGTAAAAGCATTTTTTTTTTCCGGCCAATGTGACTTTACCAGCACAGGCTGGCCTGTCACAGCCAACATTTTCTTTAGGTGAGCAGTATTATACTGAGGTCAGCTAGGTGGCCAATAAATGTGCATGTATCATTTAAAGGAAACCAGCAACATCAGAAATATGTAGGCTGCCATTGCTGATACTGCATTAGTTTCATGTATGTCCCTGACTTTCATTTTTTTTAAGTCATTGTCCCTTTACAAACATGCAGAACTCCTAATATGCATAACTGCTGTGGCTCCTTAAGTAAGGAAGCCACTAAAGCAGCTTGACAACCAGGCAGTTGGCATTTTCAGAAGGTAGTCAGAAAAGTAGCCTTAATATTTCCCTGAGTGCAGATTTTTAACAGTGGGGTTGGACATGACTTGACTGGCTTCATGCTGTTTCTGGACCTCTGTCGTAGAGAGTTTTGAAGTGAGAAACAACCTGGCATCCAGTATTTTTAAAGGTAGGTCATTAACGGCAACCTCCATTTTTCTGTCAGTACATGCTTGCTTAAAAGCTAAACTTTAGAAAACATGTACAAATATATAGCTAAAATACAAATGTAGGTAATGTGTTACCTGCCAAAGGGTTTAGGGTTTGAAAGTCAGGGACATACATGAAACTAATGCAGTATCAGCAATGGCAGCCTACATTCTGGTTACTCCCAGTGTGAACACTAAAGGGACCGCAGCACATCCTCTTCTCTCTCTGGTCTCTTCATTTTTAAATTACACATGTGTATGCAGCAAAGCCTGATTGGCTCCTACTGCTGACCCTCCTTTGTGAGCTCTGCTCTACAGGGGAGAGTGATATCAAAACAAAATCATGTACTTATAATAGTTGCACTTAAACATACAAAAAATATTTTATACTGAATAATATTACAATTAACTACATTTATTGGTATTTTATAACAGCCTGTAGGCTGTTAAATGAGGTCATAATACCTTTGATGAATTGTTTTTAGGAATGATTATTTGATGGATTTAACAAATTAACCTAACATATTATTTATGGCCATAATGGGAATGTGCTGGGCATCCTACTATAAAACTTCTCTTTCTAAATAAAAAATAGATGATACGACAAGCGCCAAATACAACCAAACAAGCCCTCCTGTGGCTCAAGGAGTTAACAGAAATCCAGTAGTCTGCCCCGCAACGGACAAGGGATCCTGGAACTGCATAAAAGAAAGAAAACACTGGGCGCCTGACCTGGTGCAATAATCCTTTTATTGAAAAAACTGTGTATATGAAAACACTTATACTCACAAGTAAAGCAAGGACAGTGACACATTAGACTAGTAGTCCTCACTGGATGGACCGCTGCACAAAGGTATGAATGTCCAGGAGCTCTACTCGTAGTGAGACTCACTGCCACTAAGCTGAATGCGTTTTCGGGGAACTTCCCCTTCATCAGAGTCTAATGTGTCACTGTCCTTGCTTTTTTTGTGAGTATAAGTGTTTTCATATACACAGTTTTTTCAATAAAAGGATTATTGCACCAGGTCAGGCGCCCGGTGTTTTCTTTCTTCTCTTTCTAAATGCCTGAGAGATATTAGAAACTTGCTGGAATATATTGAGTGCCTGTCTACACCCAAAATTGAAATGCCTTTCGGACCATCATACTCTTAAAAGCCAAAACAAAATAGAGAAAATCTAAAAAGGTGGCAAAAACTATGCTGTAATAATGAAATACAAGGGTATCAAGGTGGAAAAAATGTCTTGCTATTTTGTGATTATTTTTTCTAAAATAATAATAATAATAACAACAATAACAACAACAACAATAATAATTATAAAAAAACCTAGCTAAATTTATATTTACTATATGGTTACTGTTGTTGTGTATATTAAAGAATACAATTACTGGCAGAAACCCAAATGTCCAAGCAGTATTGCCACATTTAGGAAACATTTGGCTATGATGTAAAGGAAATGAAGAAATAGTACAAAAAGCCTAAACTAAGTATTCCTTTTTATTTCATGTGTGCGATTTTTCTATTTTCGCTGTCATGACTCCTCGGTATATCATGTCATTAATCTTCTCATTTTCCTAACTAATGATTATTTTTCTGGCCTTGATACCTTATTGCCCCCTCATTACTTATTTTTTCAGCTTGTCAAGCTATACTGTGTCAGTGATTCTGCTTTTACTTTGTGCAAGAACTGCACTTTCAATACATCCATCCAATTTCCCTGCTGAAATATATTTGCTGTCAGGTATCTCATTCTCTGAATATCGTTCTGCACATGCATTTTTCATCTCTTTTTATCACATTTGCATCTCAGGCTTTAAGTTCTCATGTCCTTCAATATACTATGCAAAATGTAGGTCACTGCAAGAATTGTATTTAATAGTGGTATTTTAATATTGTTATATATATCAGATTGAAAATCAAATACAATATTCCGTTAAATTTTTCATCTTGATTATATAGGGTCTTATGACTGAATGGCTCCTAAGGAAGAAGCATTCTTAAAGTGACATTAAATCCTCAGATTTTTTAACATAAAACAATACTGTAATGTGCGCCTTACTGTAATCCATGGTTGTTTCCCTTCTCTTTGCTGCTCTTCCTTTTAAATCCTCATGTCTTCTCATGCTGGGGGAGAACTTCCCTTTTCAGCTCAGGGCCTCTTCCTGTAGTGCTGGCTCAGGTTACAAGCCTATACAAACCTATACACAGACACTGTGTATCCATTCCTGAGACAAGGCAGTCTGCTGCAAAACAGAAGTTCTGCAGAGCATGAGAACAGATACAGATTTAAAAGGAAGAGCAGCAAAGAGAAGGTAAACAACCATGGATTACAGTAAGGCACACATTACAGTATTGTTTTATGTTAAAAAATCTGAGGGTTTAATGTCACTTTAAAGGTGAAGTGCAGTGTGTTTTGAGTGAGGGTAATTCTCGTGCTTTTATAATTTTGTTATTCTATTTCAAATATGAGCCACAAAAGAAGTAGATTTCTGATTTTCCCTTTCATATTACTAGACACTATAAGGTAAATAAAAAGGAGCACCTCAATGGTTTACCCAGGCAACAAAACAGCTCTTTTAATTTATTATGATTATTTATTTTTAACTTGCACTTTATTGGATCAGCTTGAACTGGAGAGCTATAAAAGACCCAGTCACCTAGGTGCAGTTTAGGGCTCCATGCACAGTCTGTATCTGAAGACGGCTTCTTCTTCTGATGCTTTCTGGATAAAGTTGTATGTTTCCAAAGACAGGCCTGAACACACACTCCCAGCATGTGTCCTCTTTCCACTAATTATTGTACATATCCCATCTCACTCCTGACTGACTTGCCCCTATCAGTTTCTTTTTGGTGGGTGTTGCAGTAAGAAATGGATGGTGCCGTGTATACCTTGAAGAGAAAATGAGTTACTGAAACTCCAAAATCTTAAACAATATGGTGGGAATTGATCAAAACTGGAGTAGACAGAATCTGGAGCAGCTGTGCATGGCAACCAATCAGCTTCCCTCTTCAGTTTGTCCAGTTAAGATTTAAAAATGAAATAGAGAAGCTGATTGCCTGCAGATGTTACTTCTTCAAAAATCTTCACCTCAGGTGCACCTTCATAGTCACAAGCTCCTGCACTCAGCAGCTGTCTTCTGCTGAGACTGGGGTAACTTTGAAAAAAAACCAGTGAGACATTAAGCACTCTACAGTAGGGCACATCTATAAAGCAACTAACTTTCCCCAAACATTCACTGGTTATGAATCAATCACTCTCATTTAAAACACATGAACCTGGAGGACTCTTCTGTAGAGAATGATTTTTGCATGTGAGATATACTTTATAAATATGCCCCTTGCTGTTTTCATGCAGCCTGAGTTTTATTGGTCACATTTTTTAGTAGTAAAATTGGGCTCTAAAAGGTCTGCCATTTTTTTCCAGAACAAACTATGATAAATAACAATAAAATTACTGTTTCATTTACAGGCTAGAAAATATTTTGATTCCTCACATTGGCCACGATGAAATCCATATCAGGATGTTGGCTGCTCCAGTTAACCCTGCAGATGTTAACATGCTACAAGGTAGGCACTTGCTAGAATCATAATTGCTAATGATAAATTTTAATAGGCAGAAAAGATGGTAACATACTCACTTATGGTTAGTCTGGTTCTCTGTCTGTACGTCCTATCATTTGGTTAAACCTCTTACCTGTCTGACAGTTGATCATTGACTCAGTTATTGACTAAGTGCATCACCGTACAACATCAGCGTATCAGTGTAGTCCTACACTCATATGTTTATGAAAAAGCAATGGTGAGTGTGACTCAAGGTGTTTTGACAGTTGATCATTATTTTGCAGGAAATTATGGGATTTTACCCAACTTACCAGCAGTAGGTGGCAATGAAGGAGTTGGGGAAGTAATTAAAGTTGGCTGTCAAGTACATAATTTAAAGCCAGGACAATGGGTGGTTCCAATTGACTGTGGCTTTGGTGAGTTCTTTCTAATTACATCTATAATTGCATATCAATGTATGTTGTTACAGTGAATTTCCATTTTTAAATTGCTATTCCCTTTGTGCCTTCTTTGTAGTAACCCTTTGCAAGTTACAGTGGAAGCCTCATCCTGTTCATGTTGTTGCAAATTATTTGACGAATAGCATGCATCAGACATGATATGCTTATACAGTTATTGAAATATGAACTCACAATTGCTTACCTCGGACAAGTTTAGGTTTAGTTCATTTCATTGTATAAGGATTGACACAGAGATGCAGATATTTCACTGAGAACCACAGCTTTTGACATATCTGCTCATACTTGAATGAGTTTGAGTTGCACATACACAGTATTGTCCTCCATAGCATAGAAAAGAATCAGAAGGCTTACAGGGAGATTTTCTAACTAGTGCAATAACAAGCACCTCCAACTCCTAAACTGCTCATTCTGACTCCAAGGAGTTCAGTCCAGTAATTACAAGCGATGCTCGGAATTTGGAGAGTTGCTTATAATGATCACCACCTTTTTCATTCAAGGGGCTTATTCATGAAGATTAGCAAAAATTGCTCTTCACTGAGGAAAGTTCATTTTCAGTTTCCTCTGAATAACAAACTTTTCTATTTGCAAAATATATGTTGGTGGATTCCTTTTACCTGTCAAAATATGTAACCTAGGCTCAGTATACCGCGAGCTGTAGCTCATGGTATACTGAGATGCCGCAGCTGAAGCGGATCCCGACAATTGTGCCGGGATCCACCCAGCTTCGTGACTGACAGCTAATGTAGAACATAGTGAGTGCAGTTCAGGCATCAGGAGTATAATGTACAACATAGCATATACAGTGAAGGGGACAAGCATATAATGTATAACATAGTGAATGCAGTGCAAGGGTCAGGAGTATAATGTACTGCATGACATAGCATACATAGTGCAGGGGTCAGGAGTATATTGTACAACATAGCGTATACAGTGCCAGGGACAGGAGTATAATGTATAACATAGCGAATGCAGTGCCGAGGTTGGGAGTATAACGTATGACATAACGTATACAGTGCAGGGTGTCAGGAATTTAATGTACAACACAGTAAATGCAATGCAGGAATCAGAAGCAAGTATAATGTACAGCATAGCGTATACATTGCAGGGGTCAGGTGAATAATGTACAACATATTAAATGTAGTGCAGGGGTCAGGACTATGTAAAATACAGAACTGTTTACAGAGTGCAGTGGTCAGTAATATTGTGCCCTTTACTGCCGGTTAGTGGGAGAAAATATGCCCCAAAGCTGGTGGAAAGTGGAACAATAGGCTCCCCACCGCCATCTTAAAATTGCTAGCCCCTGTTTGCCCCCTCCCTCACAGAGGACTCCCAGTGCCTGGGTGTCTGTATGGGTGCACCCGCCCCCTCCCCATCCGTTCCGCCAGTCAGCGCTGGCGGATCGGAGTGGGGAGGGGGGAATCCCCCCACGGCAGAAAGCCGTGACAGGATCGAGAGGTGAGCGAACCCGGTATGTGTTCGCTCACCTCCCGATCTACTGAGCCGACCTGTGACAGTCTCATTGTCACAGGTCGGCTAGAACTATGAGGTGAGTGAAAAGCACTCACCTCATAGTTCTCCTTTAAGAAAGTGAAAGCACTCTTTAAAGACAATGGTCTAGATACACAATTCTGCAACAGCACTTTAGCAGGTTTATTTATAAAACTTTGGATGGATGCTGTTGGCACGCCACTAGCGCCCCTGTACTCCTCAGAACCATCTAGTAGCCAACTGCATCCTCCAAGCATAATATATATATATATAGTTATTAGGGATGTCCCAATACTAGTATCGGTGCCAAAAGAGGCCATTTTCAGGGACCTGGCATCCCTGGTGAAACCTGTACGCAGACCTGGTGAGACCTGCACGCATCCCTGCTGAGACCTACATGCATCCATGCCGAGACACAAAAGCAGCCCTGGGGTGATCTACATACATCCCTGCTGAGATCTGCATGCTGCCATGGGGAGATCTGCATGCATCCCTGCTGAGATCTGCACGCAGCCCTGCTGAGACCTGCATGCATTCCTGGTGAGACTCAAATGCAGCCCTGGTGATATCTGCACGCAGCCTTGGTGAGACCCAAACACAGCCCTGGTGAGACCCAAACATAGCCCTGGTAAGACTCAAACACAGCCCTGGGGAGATCTGCATGCATCCATGGTGAGACCTGCATGCATCCCTGGTCAGATCCAAACACAACACTGGGGAGATCTGCATGCACCCCTGGTGCGATCTGAACACATACCTGTGTAATTGCTGTATAATCATAGATTGATGGGATCTCAATAGCCGATTGCCATTCTTCCCATGATTATACAGCAATAGAGAAGGGTAACTAGCAATAGAAGACTACAAATCTCAGCAATCCATGGTTGCTGGTTGCCATTCTCCATTGCTGAATAATCATGGATTGAGTTACAGTTTTTCACAATTATAAAGAAACTGTCGTAAAATCATTAGTCTGTGTTGTTTTAGAAAAAAATTCACATGTCCCTTCAGGAAAAAGTATTGTTAATGGGTTTTGGCAAGTACCTGAGGAAAAGTACTTGTACTTGGTCTGGAAAAAATGGTATCGGGACATCCCTAATATATATATACCGTCTCTTATATTTTTTTGGCTCAAAAAGTCTACATGTATTCATGTACAAAAATATACCGTATTACACACCTGCCACCCATGGTGGAATTTTTTAAAACAACACAGTTGTCAATGAATTGACAAAGTGTAGAGGAGGGACTCACCACGATTGGAACTGCACTCATTCAGAAATGCTATCAATGTTAGGATTGCATGTTAAAGAGCTCTCTTCTTATAGAGAAGAGAGGTATCTATCACATACTTTGACCTGCTATATAATCAAAGTTCTTCCATAAACATGGGAATAGTATCCCTTCAACTACACCATTTTGAGTACAACTATACTGGAAGATACTGTGTATAAATATATCCCCCCCTGCCTTATTCATTACGCTTTTCTATCTTTAGCGAAGTGGAACACTGAGTATATAAGATGCAGTGAACATTCTGGTTGCTCGATACAATGTACCAGCACGGTTGTTACATTTTTCCAACAGGCATCAGATTGAAGTTGCATGTCAATATTTCGCTGCATTGTTTAATAAAAAATGTTTAAACTTTTATTTTCCGCAAGTGACAAGCGTTGCACGGTAACCTAGCAACCGATCAGTCACCTGGTCCGGGTTCCTGACACTCATTGACTGACGGACGGCACAATGATCTTTGGTAATATATACGCGCAGATAACACACTGCGCGTACACCATGAGAGCCGGTCCGCTAGACATGAGCAGCCAGCAGGATGCAACTTAGATCTATGGATGACACGGATCGGAAAAGAGCAGGTAGATCACGGGTAATGCAAGATCACCACTACGGACAAGGTATTTTATCAGTATGCATCTGTATCATGTGTTCAGCATATAGCTAATTGTACCTGGGCAGCATGGTGTGAATCAAGTCGTTAGGACGTCAGAAGAGGAGGTATTAACTGCAAGGTGATTGGTGGTTTGATTTTGTTTCACCTGTATTTATTGTTTGATTTTGTTGCTTGACTCACTCCCTGTTTGCCTGACGACGGGGCCGCATGGTCTCGAAACGTCGCTAAGGCTGGGCACACACCGTACAACCATCGCAAGACTTGTGTCTTGCGATGGTTGTAAGGTACTTAAAAAGACGTACGATCTGCCTATCTTGCATAGGCAGATTGTACTTGTGATGATCGCAAGCCACGCCCCCTGAGGGGCGGGCTTCCGATGACCGCAATGCCGAACGGGCAGTGTGCGCTTGCGCACACCGGCCCGTCCGGCTTTTATCTTACGAACATGCTACACAACCGCCGAACATCGTACAATGCTCGGCGGGTTTTGAAACATGTTCGTAAGTTTAAAGCCGTGCGACCTTACAGTAGTAGAGGTCGCACGACTTCCACACACTTTACGATAATCGTACGATCGCGGGATTTTTTCCGCGATTATCGTACGATTATCGTAAGGTGTGTGGGGACCTTTAGGAGATGTGTGTTATCTAAGTCAATAAACAGCATTGACTTTAATATCATGGAGTGCGAGTGACTACTTTCATCTATCTACATTTCACGGAGGCATCCGTTGTCACCACCGCACCCACCCAGTTGGATTTGGGTGTTTGTCCAGTCAGGAGTGCGATGGGACAGGAGGATTAAGTTTCACATCGGGTAAAAAGACACCAAACATGTCAAGCCTTAAAATTGCGTGCGTGCGCGAAACCTAAACAAGCAGCCAGCACATACACACGATTGGCAGGCTATAGAGCCACCGATCGTGTGTATGTGAAACAGCCGGTAACGGCTCTTTACATCGGACGGGTTTTTTCTGCCCATGCGCGCGCCGTCTCATGAACGCAACCTGCTGATGTGAGTCCGCCGTCCGTTTTTTTGCAACGGGCGGACGGCAAGTGGTTAAGGAAAAATTACCAAAAATTTCGGGAAATAAACTGTTTTCCCTATATTAAGTTATGAAACAGTTATTATTACCCAATTTTTTGGTAAAATATCAAAGACGGGGTCATGTCGGGTAAACAGTAAAAAACTACAATACTCAAAATTGCCCATAGGCGACAATTTAAACGTTTTTACCGCTCATCGGTTTAGTGTTATCAGTGTGATTAATGGCCCTAGAACTTTTGCTCACACTTCGACATTGGCGGTGATATGTAACATGTGCCGTGCAATTGTCATTTTCCTTTGTTGGCTTATTTGCTTATTGCACAGAAGCTCCACAGACCTACATTTAAGCCATAGGATCCCTCACATGTGGATAGACAGGACACTCATTCTGGAGACTTGTCTGAGGGTATCTGCCAGCTCATCAGTGCAATAGTGAAGGGTTCTGTTATGTTCTGTGATGTTCCTTGTGTCCTGTGATGTACAATCAGAAAAAGTCATTTATTTTATTTCT